AAAAAAGTTTGAATCTCTATGGACTGCAGTTTGGTGCTTCTTGGAGTTTCTGAGAGACGCCCAGAAGCAGGAGCCTATTGTACCTTCTGTCTTTAAACACACTGAGATTACAATGAGTTAAGGTTAAAAGAAGAGTAAAGAACAGGAAATGTATTACAGATACATTCAAGTGTGTTCTTTCCAATCTTGCAACAACAACCCTTGGAAGGCGGTTTTATTATCTCAGGAAAATTAGGTTCTGGGCATGCCTAACCCAAGAACGTAGTGTGAGCAGAATGAGTTGGGCTAAAGTCCACGTTTATGAATCTCAGATGCCTAAGTTCATTCTGTCATGCCCCACTGCATCACGTAGTGAATTGTGTGTGTGTGTGTTTGCTTGCAATACCCTCCCCCTGACCTCTCAATAAAAGGGAAGTCTTTTTTTCCACTTCACAGTCAATGTAGAGGTGAGCTGGAGAAGAACAGAGTGATAACAATACAGGTTGGAGGAAACCTTCATCTTAACAGACATAGAGGGCTTTTGTGCTTTCACTTCCTCATCTGTGAACTTATGTCTACATTCATTCTTTTTTCCCCTTTAGTTAAATTTTTTCATATTAAGGCAAAACTCTGGGCTTTGGAGTAAGATAGCTGATTAGAAGCTTCCTCTGTGTGACTTTCACAGACCATATCAAGAAGACAGGACCATAGAATTGTGGTAGAGATGTCAGGGCCCTTCGCAAAGCATTGGGAAACAGAAAGACTGCACAGAAAAGTAGGACACACACTTGTCTACAGGTCTGACTTCTTGGGAAGGGGAAGTAAGAACTGAATGAGTTTTGTATTATGAGACTGTCATTAACCTCTGAGGATCAGAGGCAAAAGCTATGGTTTCATTCTGGAATTTTCCTCACAGGTTCATGTGTTTGAACAGCTGATCCCCAATCTTTCAGGGGAGAGATTAGTTAATAGAAGTGGGTCAGTGAGGGTGGCCCTTTAAAGAAGTATACCCATGTATGGTGATGGTGTAACCTTTGTTGATGCTTATTTTGTTTTGTTTTGTCTTGAGACAGTTTCATGTAAGCCAGGCTGGCTTTTACTCCATGTGTAGACTTCGAAATTCTCATCCTCCTGCTTCTGCCTCTCAAGTGTTGAGATTATTACCAGTGTTGATCACCACATCTATCTCAGAGAGTTCTCACAAGAAGAAATATAGCTGACCAAAGTATAGATTATTTTCTAATGTTCAAACTTTCTTAGTCATAGAGGAAATTCAAATCAAAACTATGCTGAGATTATGTCTCATTTCAATCAGAATCATCAAGAAGACAACAAGTAGGGGGGATTTAGAAAAAAGGAAACCATGTACTTCTGATAGGAATGTAAAATAATACAGTCACTATGGAAATCATCATGGAAGGTCCTCAAAAAACAAACTAGACTTAAGTTTTGTGCATGGTGATAGACAATGGATCTATCCGCATTCTTCTACATGCCAGCATCCAGTTATGCCAGCACCATTTGTTGAAGATGCTTGATTTTTCTCCATTGTGCATTTTTAGCTTCTTTGAAAAAATCAGATGTTCATACATGTATGGGTTAATATCAGGATGTTCAATTTGGTTCCATTGGTCTACCTGTCTATTTTTGTGGCAATACAAAGCTGTTTTCAGGACTACAGCTCTATAACAGAGCTTGAAGTCAGGGACGGTGATGCCTCCGGAGGTTCCTTTATTGTACAGGGTTGCCTTGGCTATCCTGGGTCTTTTATTTTTCCATATAAAGTTAAGGATTGTCCTTTCGAGGTCAGTGAAAAATCGTGCTGGTATTTTGATAGGGATTGCATTGAATCTGTATATTGCTTTTGGGAAGATTGCAATTTTTACTATGTTGATTCTACCTATCCAAGAGCATGGGAGATCTTTCCACCTTCTGGTGTCTTCTTTAATTTCTTTCTTTAAAGACTCAAAGTTCTTGCTATACAGGTCTTTCACTTGTCTTGTTAAGCCACTCATGGGTATACAACTGAAGGAGTAGAAGTTAGCATATAAAAGAGTGTCATTGGTGGCAGCTCCACATTGCCCCCCTCCCCAGCTTGAGACTTTTAAGAACCTCAACTCAGGCTTCATTGGGAGTTATGGCTTTGACACTAAAGAGAATTTCAGGACTAGCCAATATAGTGAAGCAGAGTCAAAATTTTATCAATGATAGTTTTAATGTAGGCTTAAGCACCGTGGTTGTGAGAATGAGAAGTGTTCAGAAGGACCCATGCCCAGGTCAGTGCATGTGCTTCTCAAGAGAGAACAGCAGAAAGTAAGATGCACCTGAGTGTATTGGCTTCTCAAGGAAGAATGCCCAATTGTCTTGCACATACACACACACACACATACACACACACACACACACACATACACACACACACACCTCCAGTGACTCTTGAGCTACATCTCTAAAGGTTATTAAGACCTCTTCCCTTTTTCCCTTTTATTCTCCTTTGATAAAAGAGAAGTGCAAGGTTCTTTCAGAAGTATCTTAAATAAAATAAAGCCAGAAATCACTAGAGCTGAAAGAGGGGTTTGGTACCATGTCATTTTCTTGTAAAGGGCTTTCAGGCAAGATTCCTAGAAAATCCACAGGATTATGGCTGGGAAGGGAGATAGCCTTAGGCAGTTGGTAATTGTGCTGAAATTCTTGCTTTGTGACTGTCAAAAGCTTCCACCAAGTTCCCAACTGATAGGGAACTTTCCCATTTCTTATGACACGAAGCCTTGGGGATACTTATACATCCATGCCCCTTGCTTGACTATGTAAGATCGGCAAGTTAAGGAATCAGCCTAGGTACCCATTAAGTATGAATGGATGAAAAGTGTGGCTTATATACACATTGGAGTATTATTCAGCCACGAAAAAGAGTGAAATTATGACCTTTACAGGAAAATGAATGAACTGGAGATCACTGTGTTAAGTAAAATAACCAGACTTAGAAAGACAAATACTGCATGTTTTCTCATTGGCTTACAAAAAAACTAAACAAAAACATGAAAGTAGAAACAGGAATATATGGTGAAAGTGAAACTGTTACATGGGGTAGGGAGACAAGAGATAAGCAGATTTTTGTGTATGTTTGGAAAATGTCAAAATGAAACTCATTTTATAAAATAATATATATTCCTAATAAAACACAATTAAGCCTAAATTCCACTAAAGTGCCTATATTACCCACCCTTCTCTCCCCTCAGACTTTGTTTTTTCCACTCATTCTTTCTTGAGCTACAAGCCTTTGCTTTTCCCCATTCCTATCTCTCCGCCAACAGCAAATGCATTCTTGCCTTTCTCAAAGAACCCACAAATATCCCTTCAATTATGGGTCACTGAACTTTTTTCCCTTGCTGTTAATCACCCTTCTCAGAAATGTAGATTTTACTTCTTCACATTGCAATAATTTTAATTTCATTCCTGGCCAATTTCCACCCCCATTTCACTACTGTCATCAGCAGTGCTTCTGACATCACTCTAGTCTAAGTGAAAGCCTCATACGCCTATTAAAAAGTTCTTAAATCACTGGGCAATTTAATCTCAGCACTCAGGAGGCCAAGGCAGGTAGACCTCTGAATTCAGGGCCAGCCTGGTCTAGGAGTTCCAGGCAGCCAGTGCATATTACATAGAGAAACCTTGTTTCAAATATAACCAAAAAAGTGGGGGGGGCTATGTCCTTAGTGCAAAGAATAACCACCTAATGAATGTCTTTAGCATCACATTAGGAGTGGACATGGTCAGCTGCCCCCCTCAGAGACTCATGGTATCCCTCAGGCAGTATTGTCCCCCACCAGAATCCCAAGGTATCCCCCAGTCAGTATTTCCTCCTTCCTCCCTAAAGGATGCATCATCCTGACTGCCCATACTATAGGTTAGTTTCATCTGTTTCAAACTTCATGTAAATTGAAGCATATCTCTTTGGGGTCTGGTAACTCTTGCTCAATATCATATTTTCACAGCATAAACATTATAGTGCCAAAAGGGGCTTATTTATTTTTATTCCTGCATAATACACAATTGTATACATTTCCCATGATTCACCAATTTTTCTGTTAATGAACATGCAAGGTGTTTTTTGTTTGTTTGTTTTTCACATTAAGGCTGCTTCCAATACAGTTTCCATTAATCTTCTTATCCTTGTCTTCTTGGTGCACATGTATTTTTAATCCTCTGCTTAAAAATAAACACTCTTTAGGCCAATGAAGACACAATAAGTTGGACAAGGTTTTCATGAGCAGTTCCTTCTCTTATGAGAGAATCATAATCTGTGGGTCTCATAAGAGAAGGAACTTGGGGACAGCCATGTCTTTCAATGTTCTTTCATACAAAGAACTAGGGGACGGGGAACAAAAACAAACTGTATAATTAAGTGTAAACTGCTTGCACCCAACGTAATTCACAGAACCTCGGTTCAGAATAGTCAATTCAATGCAAGGGCTGACTCTTCAGTTCCTTCTGAACTATAGAGTTGAGGAATGTCGAGTCACTTGGAGGCAAGACATGGAGAGACTAAGGAGGACTATGGATCCCAGGCATATTTTTATGGGTCTTCACTTCCTTTTGCCTTTTATTCCTGAGACCAAGATAAGAAAGACCTTGGTGGACACACAAAGTTTAAGCAGACTGTCCATCCCTCTTTTACAGATACCTGCCCTGTCATGGGAGGAAGTGAGGATGCAACACAGAAGCCCCAGGGCGGGGGTGCTTATCACAGTGGCCTGGTTAATAGCTGCATTGTAAAGTCTGGACCTAGTTAGAAGTCAGTGGAGGTGAGGAGAGAAGAAATGCTGGTCTCCAGGGTTAGGAGTAGAAACGGTTATAATGCTGACAGGAATCCTTTAAATTTGTATCACATTACAGTTTCCAGAAGGTTTCCTAACCCTAGTGTCTGACACTCACAATCTTCACACAGTAGCCAGGCTCGTAATATCCTCATTTTCTTGATCTGTGGACTGGCGAAGTCAAATGAAAGATAAGAACAGTACCTTAATCCACCTTTCAGGTCCTTTCTCAGGAGTCTCCAGGAAGAGGTGACAAAGGAAAGAGAACTGGAAGTAGACACCTCCCCAAATAGTTGCAAGAACGGGCATTTAGCTTTGAAGGAGGTCTGGAAACTCTGCACCTTCTCTGGTTAGTTTGTAAACAACTGGGAGGTGCATCTCTCAGTCATTGCCCTGGAGATAGGGGTCTCTTCAGACACTTATCAGTGTATTTCTGAAAGTGGAGTTTCACAGAGGGTGACAGTGAGGTGGCACCGCCCCTCCCGGACGCGCGGTCTAGCGCCCTCTGTCACCCCAGGGCTTAGGCACGGGGTGGGGGGGGCAGGGAGGCCAGGTGCACCAGGGGTTGGGTAGGAGCCCGGAAGGTGCGCTGCCCCACCCTAGTCCCCCCCACCTCCCCGCGCCTCCTGCGTGAAAGTGAAAGTTCCAGAGCCCCTGCGAAGGTCAAGGATTAGGGGGGCGGGGCCGGCGCGGACGTGGGAGCCGGCGTCGGTCACTGGAGGGGCCATGGATGGGCTCGGCCGCCGCCTCCGAGCCAGCCTGAGACTGAAGCGCGGCCATGGGGGTTAGTGCGGGCGACAGTGCGCGGTGGGGAGAGGGCATGGGGACCTGGGTGCCAGGACTGTAGACTCAGTGCGGCACTAGGGGCAAGATTGAGGAGCAGTTTGGGCGGGATCTGGGTGGTCTGGGCAGGAGGCAGGTGAACTCAGTAAAGCAGGTAGAGAGTCAGCCAGTGAACAGATCTGCTGGGTCGAGGGGAAGCCCGATGACCAGAAACCTGCAAAGGTTGTGGGGCTCTGGGCTGTGGGCCACGTGTCCTTCCATCCAGGAAGCTTGTGGTGCACTAGGATTGCACTGGCATTTGTTTAGTTCCTGGGAGCCAGCTTGTCTCTGCCTTGCTGATAACCGCGCCACAAAAACTTGTCTCCCCAAGACTTTAGCATTGGCCAAGACGTTGGGGTGTGTGTGTGTGTGTGTTTGTGTGTGTGTGTGTGTGTGTGTGTGTGTGTGTGTGTGTGTGTGTGTGTGTAGCGGGGGTGGGGTGGGGAGGAAGGTTAAGCAGGTAGACCAGCCCAACTGTTTTCTCAATCCTGACCTTGAGTCCTGACCTATGAGATGGGATTTTTTTTCCCTGCTCTGGGTGGATGGGAGGGATGAACTGAGATGTCTCATTTGGAAGAAGGGCAATTAGGATTCATTAATGTGTCCATTCATTCAACAAACATCTGTCGCTGTTTATGACTAGCCAGCGCTAGGTCTGAGTCGCCACTCCTGAGTTTGTTCAGACAGAGTCCGTGCTTCTGAAACTGAAAGGTTTGGAAGGGTCATTCCCAGAGAGTTCACCCCTTCCAGTATTTGCAAGTGAAGTGGTCAGTGGGCCCCTCTCCTAATAGGTCTTGGAGAACGCCAGAGTTGAGGTCAGGGCTTCCTTCCTGGAACTGCAGTGACTTGTGACTGATCAGCTCTTTGTCCTTTCTCACTTCTGCCACCCTCACTCCTGCTCCAGCTGTGCTTGTTCTAGTATGTGCCTCTTCTGTCTGCATGCAAGGAGGTGTGTGTGTGCGTGGTGTGTGTGTGTGTGTGTGTGTGTGTGTGTGTGTGTGTTTCCCTGCAGAGTCCTGGCTTGATTTTTGTGGGCTTCCTAAACCTGGGTAATCTGCTGAATGGCTGGATCTGCTTCCTGGGGCTCAGAGGATCAGAGGACACATTTTAGCTGTTCCCCCACACCACCCGTACAGCACCATGAAGGCAGCAATGGTACCTGGAGGGGCTTCCTTGTGGTTGAGGAACAGGAAGGCAGGCCTGTGTGTATGTGCCTGTTCATAAGCTCGGCACCTGCCAGGTCATATGGGTGTGACTTTTTCATCTTTCTTGCTATCCTCCTGCTTCCTGGGGGATTTCCCCTTCTGAAGTCTCAGGCAGTTGTTTCTCAGAGGCGTGTGTGTGTGTGTGTGTGTGTGTGTGTGTGTGTGTGTGTGTGTGCAAGCATGCAAAACACTGGTAGGGAAGACTGCTGTGGTGGTTCTGGGACACCAGCAGCTCAGCAAAGAACAAACAACAGCTTTTCAGATCAAGGTTCCCCAAAGTCCCCTCTTTCCTTCAGGTGGTTGTGGGAGGGGCTTCCTGGTGGAAGAACAAGTGTAACCAGACTCTTGACTTCCTTAGAAGGGTGGCTCCTTCCTCAATTAAAAGTGAGGATTAAGTGAGATGCCTTGTATTTTGCAGGAGTTTGATGCACACTAGTTCTTCTCATGCTTTTCTGTGATAGCCCTGTCTGAAGGGGGAGAAGGAGAAAGCACTCTTGTTGGATCTCTGGAGTCTCAGCCCCAAAGCAAGCCTCGCCACTTTTCTATGGTCTAGGGTTTCTGACTTTGCTGTTCCCCCATTTCTCCTGATAAAGCAGGAGGAAATGGAGTGAAAATGCTGCCCCAAGGACTTAGGAAAAGACATATTTCCTGAACTTCTGGAATGATCGGGAAGATGATTCTGGCTCTCCCACCCCCAGCACACACACACACACACACACACACACACACACACACACACACACCTACCTGATGGCATGTTAACTGTGCAATACACCAGAAGGCCTCATCCTGGATTTGGAACCTTTATAATGCTCACCTTCTACAGATCCTGTTCCTTTTAAGTAGCCCGAATGACTCAATGCCTCAGTTTTCCCTTCTTTATCATGCAGGTACTTGTTCCTTAAGAAAGCTAGTAAAGAAGTGTAACATGCCTGTACAGGATACAGGAAAGACACAGTGACTGCCTGGGATGTCCTGGTTCACCCCTCTCACGGCTTCAGCTCTCATTCTACTTACAATGTTTGGGGCTTTCCCAACAAGTCAACACTGGACCTCCGGGTCCTTGCTTTTACTGGCGCTACAAAGGCCCAGTTCTAGAGTTCTTGGAAGCAGAGTGACAGGCTTCCTGCCATATCAGCACACTCCTTCCCAGAGGGCTGCTAATTCCTTGCAGGAGTGGCAGACAGAGGCACCAGATCCCTTTGCTTCCTCCCTCCGCACTTCCTGGCAAAGGCTCCTTCCTCTTATCCCATACATTTCCTTATCCAGGACTATGTGAGAAACCTGGCTTATCGATGGCTACTTTCCCCCTCTTCCTCAGCCTCTAGACCCAGCACTGGATCTGCAGCTTAGGATGTTGACCTGGTCCAAACAGGAAGGGCTAGGCAGGAGTGAAGATGCTCTGTACCCCCACTATTCCTGATACAACCAGTCCCCTACTCTGGACTAGGAACAGTTTCCTGAGTCAGGGCTTCCTTTAGAAAGAGAGCCTCTGCTGGGGCTCTGGAATAGTTTCAGTGAAAGAGTTCTCTCCTTGGACTAGGACATGTTACAGGGTGTAAAGGATTACCTTTGTATTATTCTGTCAGTAGCAGGATCTCTCAGAGGTGGACTTTGTTTTCTACTTCACCATCAGGAGAGTATCTGTAGGGTCTGTCAAGAGACCCCCTCTCTTGCTAGAAGTTATTTAGAGAATCACTGGGCGAATCTACTTACCTGAATCAGGGGAAGGCAGTAGCGTTTTGGCTGCTGGAAGTGTTCAGTCCAGTGTTCTTGGTTGAATTCTTGAAGTCCTGGATGTTTTAGAATTTGCCAGTTGGCCTGGTGGGACTTTGCAGCTTCTTATGAGCAACTTGGAAAGTTAACAGAGGACAGTCAAAGACATGGAGTGTAAAATACCTATGCTGAGATTCAGGAAATAGTGGAGTTCATGGCCTGATTTTTCCAGGCATCCCTCACTGCCTGAGGTTGTAAATAAACTCACCACATGGTCTGCGGGCGCCGGAACTCAAAGCCCTTATTCCAGGAGCAGTTCTGCCTTGAGATATTTGCTCATGACCTTTTCTCTTACCACACCCTGGGGCTCTTGGGAGGAGCCAAGAGCTGAGCTGCCTTGCCAGGATGCTGTCTCTGTCAGTGCCCATGTTAAGCTGCCTCGTGGGTCCTTTCACATCCTCCTTGCTCAACTACGGAGTACACGGGATGGAAACTGCTCTCCGCCTTTGGGAGACAACACATGGTTCAGCTTAATAAAGCTGTGATTGGAGACCAAAGCAGAAGGCACTTTCTCAGGCTTTCTGTGGCCAGCCTGAAGGAGAAAGAACATTCATGCCCCCAAAGTCCAGAACGATGGAAGGACAAGGGGTAGGCCGAACCCTCAGGCTGCTCCGAAATCGCTTGCCACGACTTCGAGCAGGTCAGAACTGGATTGCCTACTTCCTATTTGGGGTAATCCTCTTATGGGCTGTTTCCTCCTGGACTGCTCCTCCTTCTTTTTCCTTTACATGCCAAAATCCACATGGCCCCCATGTGATCAGGCCAGGAGACCTTACCAGTTTGTAGAGCTAGTTATGTTGCCTGTGGGAGGTCTTGGTATAGCCATAAGAAAATGCCCAGTGGACCCATCTGATTATTTAGTCCAAATTTACTCAGGGCACATGAAATACTACCAGAATTGCTGAGGTAGGCAGACTGCAGTGTCAGGCATCAGGCCTCCAAAAGCCTACAGAGCATGGCTCCTCAGTTTCTACATCAGTGTTTTCTTTTCTCCCTGTGTCACTCAACAGTCTCAAGTTTTCCAGGACAGGTATGGAAACTGCCCACTTGGCTCTGGTCCTTCCTACCCGGTGACTGGTGGTGCCTGGCCAGGCTTGGTATCAGCACTGGCAGTGTGGCCTTGAGGCACACAAGTTGCCCAGATTCTCACACAAACTACAGAAAGGAGGAATGGAATACTTAAGGGACCCTTTCATCTCCATTCTAGGACCGTCCCAGAACAACACTGTGGAAGCTGCCACAGAACCGGAAAGGACCCAGGAACATTCCCTGTCTAGCTTTGCTGGAGGCCAGCACTTCTTTGAATACCTTCTTGTCGTTTCTTTAAAGAGAAATCGGTCAGGGGATGACTATGAACCCACAATCACCTACCAGTTTCCCAAGGTAAGGACAGAGGAGAGGTGGGACCTGCCAACAGGGGTGGGGGCACAGAGGTGTGTTTAAAAGGTGGTGGAAGAGTTCTACTCTGTACCACCCTGCCAGGTCTTGAGCTCTGAGTTCACTACTCTCTTTCCTTTGTAGCCCGGCCCTAGCTTTCTGTTATCACCCAGAGAATCTAGGTCTGACTGCCTTGTGAGGGACTGATTGAACCTCTAGAGCAGGGAAACCAGCCTCGTGCTCTTGCCTAGTTTGCCCAAATTCCACCTCGGTCACCTTTTCCTACAGAGAAGCTCAGCCTCTGCCAGGACTCCTAAGAAGGCCCTTCCTGGTTGTGTGGTAGAGAATCAGGCATACCCAAGACGCAAACACAGGCTGAGATCATACTCCCAAAGTATTAGCGATCTCCTTGTTTGACTCTGCACTGTGTGAGGTACAGTGCACCATTCCATCAACCCCTCTTGTTAGCTCTCAGCAACTGGACAGGATGCTTCTTTTTGCTGATGTAATATTTCTCTGATGTCACCCTCTAAGAGACCAGCTGACCTCTCTAACCCCCTTTTAAAATTAAAAAAATCCTCAGAATACTGAATTCCAACCTGATGTTATATTGATGTGGCCTAGAACAAATTGTTCTTTCTTGGGGTCATTCCAGCAAGACCTGGAATACAGACTCTGTGGTACCAGGCAAAGGCACCTTTGTAGTACATGCTAACAGGAAAGAAGGCTGATAGCCTTGTGACCTCTGCCTCTGCCTAAATCCGCTTGCCTTTTCCTTACAGAGGGAGAACCTGCTCCGGGGTCAACAGGAGGAGGAGGAACGGCTACTCAAAGCCATTCCTTTGTTCTGCTTCCCTGATGGGAACGAGTGGACACAACTCACAGACTATCCCAGGTAACCACTCAGTCTGGGGGCAAGGGTACAAGATTTGGATAACACGACAAATGTGTGGCCCTTGTGGTCCCCTCACCTGGTATGACTTTTTTTTTTTGCAAGGAATGTTTGCCTAGGGTCCTTTAGGCCAAAGATCTTAACTGTGACATGACCTCTATCCAAAGGCACTTAAGAGTCTCTAATCTATCCTATAAGAAATAGTCACTATTTTTGACTCTGCCACTGGCAGAAGCTGGACTGGAAAGAAAGTCTTTGGATTCCAAAACAACAATATCAAAGGCTTCTTACATCATGAACACTGGAAGTCGACCGTGACTTCAAATTTTAGTTAAGAAAAGCCTTCAAACCTTACTTACTTCATCTTTAAGGTGGCAATAGTAATTAAACCTCCTTCAGAAAGGTTCTTTTGAGTGTCAAATGAGGTGATGCATTTGGGCTTGGCACCACTGAGTGCTTAGTGAGTGACCATGGTAATTATCCTCATGATTAATCAGCAGTGCCCCTTTGTCGTCCTCTCCAATTCTCTGATGCTGACTTAGATCTTGTTTTCGAATCTGGTGAGCACATCCTTGGTCTGCTTTCTCTTAGGGAGACCTTCTCATTTGTCCTGACCAACGTGGATGGAAGCAGGAAGATTGGATACTGCAGGCGCCTCCTGGTCGGTGCTACACAGAACCACCCCTTCCTCTCTGCAGAATGTTCAGCTCCACAGCTGGGCTTGCCAAAGCCTCAGCTACAAAAGCTCAGGCTTGGTGGCAGTGGTGGTTATAGGGAGAGTACAGCTCAGCACATGCTGCCATGTTAGTGTCCCTTCTGGAATCCCACAAGAACAAGGATGTACTGTTCCTCCCCTCTCAAGACACCAGGCTCTGGCCTGTGCTCTCCCAGCTCAAACATTTCTACCCACAGAGAGGAGCTCCAACTGAACCCTCTTGTAGTTTTCTCTACCCAGGCCTGGTTGCCTTGTTGCCTGGAGCCTCCCAGATAGCCTGAGATTTCAACAATTCTTGGCAATCAGTTCAAGGATTCTGTAGACACCTTTCCAACATTTTCCTCTTTAGACATTTCCTCATGGCTAAGACACATTGATTTTTGTTCTCACTGACATTCAGCTCATGTTGGCTATGAGTCAGTAATGTTTACCTTTGGGTTTCTGGCCCCCAAAGGCTGCCACTCACACTTTCTTCCTCCTTTTCTTCCTTCTCCTTCTCTTCTCTTATTAGCATATGCCCACTGTATAAAATATAGATTTTATTATGTTTTCTTATGTGCAATCCATGTACTTCAATTATACATATTTACTCTCATCACCTTTTTAATTTTAAGTTTTTCATTCTTTTTCTTTTTAAAAAGAGTATATGAGGCCGGGTGGTGGTGGCGCATGCCTTTAATCCCAGTACTCTGTGAGGTCAAGGCCGGGCTGGACCGACAGCCTCCAAAACAATACAGAGAAACCCTGTCTCGTAAAATCAAACAAAAAAAGTATCTGAGTATTTGAATGCATGCATGTAAGTCCACTGGATTTGAGTTACAAATGATTGTGAGCTACCATTTAGCTGGGAACTAACCCAGGTCTTCCTAAAGAGCAGCAAATGCTTTTAAGCATTGAGCCATCTCTTCTACCCTCCTGTTTCTCTTTTTAAAAAGACTATTTTTAATTATATATGTGTGGTATATGCATATGTTTGTGTGTGATATGTGCATATGTGTGTCTCTGTGTGGTATATGCATATATGTGTGTCTGTGTGGGGTGTGTGCAAATGTATGTGTCTGTGTGTGGGTTATGTGCAAATGTGTATGGGTGTCTTATTAAGCCAGAAGAAGGGCCATCTCCTGAATGGGAGTAAAAGGTGGCTGTGAGCCATCCAGTGTTGGTGCAGGGCATTGAGTTTGGATCTTCTGTGTACTCTTAACCATGGAGACACATATCTAGCTCCTCATGTCTTTTATTTATGTCTTATTTTTCTAAAACTCAAATCTTGCACATTAAATAGAAAATACATATTTGTCTTTTTCTGTGCCTGATTTCTTTTGCTTTAGATAATAATTGTCAGCTACATCCAATTTCCTCAAAATGTTGCAATTTCACCTTTCTTATTATCTGAATAATACTCTACTTTATTTACAGATTATCTTTTCATTTGTTGAGAGACATAGGCTTGTTGCATAATGTGGCTATTGTAAACAATAATCATCGTTTTTTGTCTCTGATAACTATTTTGACCCTTCTTCCGTCTGTTCCATGAAAAGAACCTCTGTACAGGCCTTTCTCCATACAACCATTGACCCACATCCACAGCACCCCAACTTTTGCCCCATCAGTCTCATGTGGGGGAACCCTTGTGGAAGCTGCAGCCCTGAAGGAAACTCTTGTCTCTCCCCAGCCTGCCGGTCCTGGCCCTCGCCTTCCCAAAGTATACTGCATCATCAGCTGCATCGGCTGCTTCGGCCTGTTCTCCAAGGTAGGGTTAGGACAAGATTCCTTGGAGCCTGTTAGGCAGGCCTGTTCAGATTTCTGGCTCTGCCTGGCTGCTTGCCTTGCAACTTGAGCCCTTGGTAGAACACCTTCCTGATAGCCCAGCCAGCATCAAGGATATTGGGTAAAACTGGGCTAAACTGGGCTCAACCCTTTTTAAAGGAAACCTAGGAGGCTGTTTCCCCTCAGAGAGAAAGAACTATTGTTCATTCTTCTTCCTGCCTTCCTGGTTGGTCTGAGGTGCAGATGAAGTATAACATGAGAAAATACTTCATAAAAAGTAGGGCACCACACAAGTCAAAGGGCAAATATTCAATGAGGATCCTGAGATTTACCCTGCCTCTGATGAGACTAAAAGAGAAATTGAGGACTTGTGTTGCTGGGTATAGGATCAAGGCAGAGTCCCTAATTCTGGACATCACCTATCTTGGTAGCCAGAAGGACTCTGGATGAAGGAGAGGAACTCCGTGGACTTCTGCTTGGGTGTATCTTACTTGTGTGAATCACACTGAGGACTGGTGGCAACCTCATCCTGATGATAGTCCACAGTAAATAGGAGAGTGATACCCAGAAAGTTAGGCTTCTAGGTTCCTATTCTAGCTAGTGCTAACATGGGACATGACTTGTTAGGCCTGGTAGTTTTATGTCAGTGTCAGGAGACAGAAAGACTATTAGAGACAATCAAAAGAAAGTAGGTTTTGTCCATGAGATGGAAGCCAGTTGGTGGAGGGGCCTAGAAAATGCCAGAGAATAAGCAGGACCAGTGTGAGAGCCTTAGGATATTCAGTAGAATCTGTCTAAGTCTTGCTTCCCTTCCTGTTGTCCTTACCCTGTAGATACTAGATGAAGTAGAGAAGAGGCATCAGATCTCCATGGCTGTCATCTACCCATTCATGCAAGGTCTCCGAGAGGCTGCCTTCCCTGCTCCTGGAAAGACTGTCACCCTTAAGAGCTTTATCCCTGACTCAGGCACAGAGGTAGGTTAACAAGTGTGTGGCTCTCTCTGTGGCTGGAGAGGGTGGGCTTTTGTGGGACTTCTCAATGTTTTTCTTTCATTCACCAGGTTCAAGTATAGGGAAGCTGAGTCAGTCATTATGATTAGTGACAGAGCTAAAAATTCACCCCAATTGTGCTGCACCTTCTAACCTGATGTCTACCTGCATCTATTTACTATAAGTCTACTGAATTTTGTCCGTGGTCATGTATGGTGCTCAGTTCGTGCCTACTCTCCAAACTTCCAGTTGCTCTTACACCTTACCTTCATTCTCTGTGTTTGTCCTGTGTCTCTACCCTACAGTCTCCATCTGTTTTATTTCTTATCATTCATCCCCACCCCTAAGTCCACACCCATCTCTTGAAGTTGGTACTATTGCTCAAAGTTACTAAAGAACAGAGGTAGCAAGTAGAATTCCAGCCAGGATATCTGGGACTTTGGAAATTCCATGTGTACCTCTGAACCTGGTCATTCCCAAAGAAGAACCAGGGAGTCACTAGGAAGTTTCAGTTACTGGAAAAATAAGTACTGAAGGAAAGACAGGTACCAAAGTGCTATGTGTTGAAATAGGTATTTTCTGGGTACAGTGGTGAAGTAAGATGAATATGGCTCCTGACGTCATAGAGCTTAAAAGTCTCATGGAGAAGGCACATCGGTAAACATGTAAATGAGCAAACATACCAGAGAATACAGTTAAAGATTTGGCAGTCGCACTGCAAGGAAAAGTTTGAGGAAGTCTTAAATTGACTGTGGTAGGCATCTGGGGCTCAAGGATAGAAGGAGGAGAGGAAAGCAGTGCCTGGGAGGCCCAAGCCACGTGGGGCTTTGGGCAGGAGAAGAGCTCTGTTCCAGAACATGCACATGGTGGAGCATATGGAGACGGGCATGTGTCCCAGGCTGGATTTCCTGGCCATACTGAAGATTCCACCCAGCTGTCTTCAGAGCAGAAGGAAGCCACAGGCGGGTCGGCCAGGATCAGATCTGTTCTGTGGGAAGAGTGGGGTAGGCCTGGACTGGGTCTGTGATTTTGTGTTGCTGCAGTCTTTCTCTGTGGTTTTCCCACAGTTCATCTCACTGACAAGACCCCTGGACTCCCACTTGGAACATGTGGACTTTAGTGCTCTGTTGCACTGTCTCCATTTTGAGAAGATTATTCAGATCTTTGCCTCTGCAGTACTGGAAAGAAAAATCATCTTCCTGGCAGAAGGTCTCAGGTAAGCTCTGCCACGGGCTGACCAGACTGAGTTGCATTCCCAGATCCAAGGGACTATATGGGTGCTTCTTGAAGGCAGTCTGATTGTAGGGCCCGTGTGTGTACCTTCCAGCTTCTGCATTTTAGACCTAGAGAAACAGGTAGTGTAATTTATCTGGCCATCTCCAAATTTGATTGCTGCCTGACTATACTAATCTAAGAAGGACATGGAGCATTCCTGGTATAATACAGGCAGAGTCAGCTAGTGTGAATGCAGACATGATTCTGCCCTTGCAAGGTCAGGCTGAGGGAGGAAAGAGGGTGGAGAAGAGGACAGGAAGCTATATAATAGCATGGAGGATAAGCTCATCTACCCATTTATGAACTCACTCAACAAATATTTATTGCATGTCAACTGTTTGCCAGATGCCAAGCATTGGGGAAATAGCAAGAAGACTCTGTGTTTGCCCATAAGGACATGAAGGGTTATGTATTGGTTTTAAGCACAGGTATTGAAACCAGCAGAATCACTTTCAAATCTTGTTCTTCCACCTTTAGCTGTAGTTCCACTTCAGCTGGCTTCTTAGCTTCTTGAAGTCAAGATATCCTTATCTGTAGAATGAAAGTGGTTGGATTTGCTTTATATAATTGTGACGAGGATTAAAGGCGGGATGCTCAGTGGTAAACACCTAGGACACCACTAGCTGCAGATGGGTGAGGACTACCTACTACTCTCAGTTCACAGTTGAGTATATGCCTGTGAGTAGAAGCAGGAAGCTGTCATGTGTTGGCTGCTACCTTCAGGAGAATTCAAGTCTGAAAAGGCTGTGGGGACTCATGTGACAGGCATAGAAAAACAATTGATAAAGAGTAGGAGATCGACTGTGTAGTCCTGGCTGGCTTGGGACTCACTGAGATCTGCCTGCCTCTACCTACTGAGAGCTTGGATTAAAGGCATGTGCCACCACAGCAAGAAGGAATAACTTTGGGCTGAATCCTGGCACGATCCTTTCACGACGAAGGAAAAGAAGTTGAGGAAGCTACAGAGGATCAAGGGAATGTCATGAGTTCCAGAGGAAAGGAAGCTTGGCAGGGATCAGGGGTTTGTGTGATGAAAACAATGTCAGCAATAACCAAAAAGGAAAATATCATAGGCTAATTCTTATGAAAAGGGGCATCATTTTTGTTTTGGAGAACGTTCTTCTACACTCTGTGTAGAAGTTTCTGTGGTACCTGGAGCTCAGGCTCCAACTAGGCTCTTTCTCTTCGGATCCGTGTTTGGGGTGTGAAAGCTGCACATTTGCCTCTCAGGAATGAACTTTCTCCAGGAAATGTTAACACTTCCTACTTTCTTGCCACATGGAATTTTCAGAAACTGGAGGCTGGTGCAGGGAGGGGACTTCCAGCCAGCCAAGGTTTTTAGCTAGGCACTAGATAGAGACTTAGTCTGTCCAACTCAGGAAGTGCTAACTTGATACCAGGGCTTCCGCATCTGTGTTTGCATTGGCCTTAGATGTGGGCAGTTTGGCTGGAGAAATGAAAAGCTATGAGAACTAGCAGAGAATAGGAATGCCAGAGTGGGGCTGTGTATGGTGAGGGTAAGGAAGGAGACTGAGCTGTGACTTGGACAGTAAGGACATGAGGAATCCTTGTAGCAAAATCTTGAGGAGTCACCTCTGTGGGACTTTCCGGAATCTCTGAGTAGTTGTTCCTGGAACCCAGGGATTTCCCAGACGAACCCAGGCACCAACCTGGTAACTACAGGGAGCCATAAGGGGGCATGGCTGTAGATGATGGCTCTGCCTCTTCTCCAAAGCCTGGTATTAGCTATGAGTCCTTCAGAGAAGGGCCAGTGTTATTCTTCTCGTTATCCCTGTGCTTTGCAGCATAAATGCTCACTCAGATCCTGCTTAAATGAAGACCTGTCTTCTGAGCTACTCTTATTTCCTGCTCTGGTAATGACTTGGGAGAACTAGCTGGGAATAGAGATTAAAGGGGGCCCCACTCTGGCTAGTAGGGCCTCACCTCTCCTGATTTCTACTTTTCCTCTTACCAACAAGTGGTTACAAGCCCTGTGATCAGCATGGCTTCCAGACTTGGAATTTTTATTTTACCCAGCATAGGAACATTGCCAGTAGCTTCTGTAAGTGTGGGGCTCTGGGCCAATGCATAGGAACATGAGCCTTGCTGACCCCCTCTCTGTTGTGTTCCAGTACCCTGTCTCAGTGTATTCACGCCGCAGCAGCTCTGCTCTACCCCTTTAGCTGGGCACACACATACATCCCTGTGGTCCCTGAGAGCCTTCTGGCAACTGTCTGCTGCCCCACCCCCTTCATGGTCGGGGTACAGATGCGCTTCCAGCAGGAGGTGATGGAGAGTCCCATGGAAGAGGTAAGCTGCATCCAAGAGAATGCATGGCTCACAGCCAGGCAGGCTTTGATTTGTATCCTAGCTCTGCTGCCAACAGCTGTGTGAGATGGGGCATATTACTTAATCTCTTTAAACCTGAATTTATCAGTAAAATGAGTATTGCTAGAGACTGAGAAAAATGACATGGCTCCTAACCTGGCACCTGATACACAGCCCATGATTGTTTTGTGGACTTAAGAAACAAGATGTTGCTTATTCTGAGGTCATGAGACTATCTTATTAGCCCGTTATCCTTATTGAGCAGTCACTTTGGTGATCTCTCAGTTAAATGAATGATCACAGCTGGCTTGTGCAACACACACTCCACTGGAATTCAAATTTCTTGGAAAGAAGCCCTTTTGTAAACTAAGTTTTGAAAATGAAGAGATTTGCAACAAGTACCATCTTTTTGAGTAGCTCAGGGCTCAGTTGGGTAATGATGACATAGATTCAAATCTTTGGATTTGTTGCTTAGTAATAGACCTGACATAAAAGAGGGTTCAACTATATAAATGGGTGTTAATCACATCCACCCCAAAAGGTGGACAAAGAACTTGAAATGATATATATCACTATAGCTGAATACAGGACTACTTGGGAAGGTCAGCCCTGGCTAACTATTAACTCACTGTGTAGAGACATGGTTACCTATTGAGGCATCATGATGCAAGCACTAAAGAGGCCCGGAGGTAGTCCTAGTGGGAGGATTTCCTCTTTACATAAGAGGTTGATGAGTTCCAGCAAACTTGTACCTTAGATGAGGCAGCAGTGGAACTCACAGAAAGGCCAAAGCCCTTATTTAGAAGGTGCTCCTGGGAGGGAGAGAAGCAGGCTGTTTGCTTTTGTTTCTCTTGCTCTTGTGCTGAGTACACATGCCCTGTGAACAACCCTTAGCCTTATGATTAACTGGAGCAGGGTATCAGCCCCACTTTAGTAATAAAACTCAAAATGTCTCAACCCCAGAGGTTATGTAACTTCCCTTCTCTGAAGCTGAGGCTCCTCCCAACAGTCAAGGAAGACAGGACGAAGGCCAGTAAGGCTCTGGCCCTTGCTAGCCAAGAGCTTTTTCTTATTTTATTCCTTTGCAGCTGCTCAGAGAAATGGGCAAGACCGACAAAGGAGCAAGTTCACATGGGGTGTATGCATGAGTGCTTTTTGGGCATAGTGCAAGGTTCTCTGATTCTCCACATAAGTTTTCTGAAAGGAATTACTCCATAGACAATATAATCAAAATACTGAAAAGACTTCTGGGAACAACCTCAAAAAATATTCATGCACACACTTCTCCCCACCCCCAAGTGAACAGCTTTCCTTGCATGAAGGCATTCAAACCTATGTATACATGCTGTTTCAGGCCTGGACTAGTTCAGCTTTTCTCCCCTGATGATGGATAATTACAGTGCAGGCTGTGTTTTGGCAAATTTTCTAGTTTCTCTTCCCTTACATTTGAAAGTAGGGAACATATAGGGATCCTTCATTCTATTGTCAAGACCCGGGAAGGATATTAAAAATAGGGACCCAAAGTAGTCCTTAAATGCCAGCACGGGATTTGAGACCTATGGTTCATTGGTGACCAAATCCCTGTAGAATAGTTAACAGTTTGATACTGTTGTTGTTGCTGTTTTTGAGTGTTAGTTTGTGGTATCTCTTGCTTATAGGAAGTGAAAGGAGAAGGATCAGGGTTCAAGCCCTAGACTACACAGGATCCTATCTCAAAGCAAAACCAAGGAATGATGTCAGAGTTCATGAGTTTTCAAATGTCAAAATCTAATCATTTGAAATATTTTAATTTAAATAATGGAAGTGGTCCAGTTACCTAAGAATACTCTGAGGAATCAGCAGCATGACTGTTGTGTCTAAATTGCGGAATTCTCAGGCTGTCCTGATGGTCCAGGAACTTGATTCTCTGCTTGTCTCATTTGCAGCCAGCACATGCATAGTTCCTCTTGCTTCTTTTCCTTTCCTCTTCCTGTTGACCCTGGGCTAATATTCTTCCCTTGCTGAGTTTCCTACTGGAAGGCTCAAGGCTGTTATCGAGCTTTTAATTAATTGAATCAAGGCCAACAACATGCTAAACATGTGCTCTACCACTGACCTCCACTTCCAGCCAATCTAAGGGAGTTTTTAAGAAGCCCGGGTGATTGTGCATGAGAGTGTGAAAAGATCAAAACATGGCTGCCTCTGACCAGTCCTCTGCTGAGTAGACCGGAGGACCAGATGCTGAAGGAGAGCTAGAGAGAAAGGATGTGGTCCCAAAGACCACAATTTAACAGAACTGGTTTGCTATTTTTCAGCACCATGACCTCTAGGAACTGTATACGAGGAGGCACACTAAAGAAACTGCTGCCATGACTGCTCCATGATATGGTTAAGGATTTTATTGTAGATAGATATGAGAGAGGCATCTGGAAGACTCCAGAGCAGAGACAGAAAGTAGACTGAACAGAGTCAGCATATTGGACATGGGCAGTGCTGGGGAAGCAGGAGAGAACAGTGGAGAGTGAGCTGGTAAGAAATGGAGAATAAACTGACTTGTGAAGCAACCTTGTTTCTTATCTAAATTTAAAATGGAAAATAAAAAAAAATAATAATAAATAAAAAAAAAGAAAAAAAAAGAAATGGAGAATAGAGCATAGCGAGAGAGAGAGAGAGCGAGTGAGAGAGAATAAGAGACAAACACACAACACACACACACACACACAGAAAGAGAGAGTGAGAGAGAGCACACAGAGAATACCTGGGTTACAAGAAGGATAAGTAGCTAAGCAGAGGGAAGCTGTGAGCTTACATTAATGGTGAGAAAGCTAGTAAGCTAGTAGGGAATTTAGAATGTGTAACAGGTACTTGTGATACTGGAGGAGCCTGGGGGGGGGGGCAGCATGGGCCTTTGATATGCTGATAGATACTAGAGTTAGCCATATGTCCCTCCTGCCTGAGGTAAGGGAAAGGACCCCTTTTGGCAGATGGGAATGGGTTTCACTGTTCCCTGAGGAATGCTGGCATTTATCTCATCACCAGAAATCCTATAGTTCAGGTTGAGCTCATGCCTAGATATTTGGACTGCTTTTTGGAGTTTGGAGTTCCATTGATTCTGATGTGAACTTCTCTAGGTTTATCTCATGTACAAAATGAGATAAAGCTAGCTTCATAGAATTATGGCTAGAATTAAATAAAATATGCAAAGTGAGTATTGAGTGTGCCATGGGCATGCTCTGCATTAAGGAAGCAGTTTCTACTATTCCTATAGCCGGTGTTGTTTTCCTTATTATTATTATTATTATTATTAGTAGTAGTAGTACTGTGATGATGATGGTACAGGATCTCTCTGATGATGATAAGGGTCTGTTAAACCCATTCCAGGCTTGCAACTTAAGGCAATCTTCTGTTTGCCTAGGATCCCAGAGTGCTAGGATTAAAGATGTGCATGTCATGATTAGTGCTTTGAGGGATGGCTATGGCTATATTTCCTTGTATTTATTTCTATCTTGGCTCTTTCCTTGGCTACACACACCATTTTCTACCTGGGAAATTAGATTTCTAGAAAAGCAAAAAAGGAATGAGAATGCCAGACAGGAAATAAGAATTACAAATACTGATGTTACTGCTACCTGGGCTTCAGGTATAGTCATGGCAGAAAGGGAGTTGGTAGTTGAAATCCATGAAGAGATAAAGTCATTTTGTGTTTCCTTCAGGTCCTGTTGGTTAATCTTTGTGAAGGAACCTTCCTATTGTCGGTAAGTGTTTGCATCGAGGGCACCTGCAGGCCTAACCTTTTGAGTCTCATGATGTCCTACTGATCTCAATAGACACTTTGAGAAAGAACGTGCGCTGTCTTTCCCTCATGAGGTCACAGGCAAGGATCCACTGTGCTTCAGCGACAGTGTCTTTTGAGCAAGCAACATACACTTGTGGGGATGAATAGATAATCTCTTTGCATCTCTTTGCTCATGCTTGAATTCAAACTGGAGGCAAAGAAATGATTTTTGCTACTCTCTATGGAGCAGTGGTTTGGGGTGGAGTAGGGCAAGAACTCATAAACTCCTCATATTCTCCTGGCACCCTTCCTGATCTCCTGACCAGAATGCTTGACCTTGATCTAGGTCTGTTCTCTTCTAGGTTGGTGATGAAAAAGACATCCTACCACCAAAACTTCAGGATGACATCTTGGACTCTCTTGGTCAGGGAATAAATGAGTTAAAGAGTAAGTTCTAGGCTCCTCTTTCCCAGGGAGCTTGAGGGAATTATTCCCTATTTGTTTATTAAAATAAACTCGTTTAGTAGCTTGTGTCAGGGAACTAAATCCTGAATGAGACTTTGTTTCTTTTACTTGGGAATGGTAGAGAATCTATACCGAGTTTCTAGACTCCTGTTTCTTTTGCTTTTGTAACATGAGACATGGTCTCAAACTTGTGGCAATCCTTCTGTCCCAGACACTTGAAATTGGTATAGTAGCTGTGAACCATCTCAGTCTCAGGCTTCCATTTCAACCAGTTATTTACTCAGCTGCCTCCCCTAGGAACTTCCAGACAGCAATGGAAACCATAATGAGAGGTGAATTTGGGTAATTTCATCCTTGTATTGCTCTGAGATAGGCCTTTCTGTCTCTTGCAGCTTCAGAACAAATCAACGAGCATGTTTCAGGACCTTTTGTGCAGTTCTTTGTCAAGACTGTGGGTCACTATGCTTCCTATATTAAACGCGAGGCCAGTGGGAAAGGCCACTTCCAAGAACGATCCTTCTGTAAAGCTGTCACCTCCAAAACCAAGCGCCGGTTTGTGAAGAAGTTTGTGAAGACACAACTTTTCTCCCTGTTCATCCAAGAAGCAGAGAAGAGCAGGAATCCTCCTGCAGGTACACACAGCCCACCAACTTCTCTGCAAGTATCTCCCTTAAGGAGAGGAGTCCTGGAAGAGTGTTCCTCTTCAGTGACAGACAGAACAGAAGGGCTCAATGGAAGTAACCATAGGAAATGCTTCAGGGGCTGGTAGTTTGTAAAGAGATGTCTGTCTATCACTCAGCACCCTGGGCCCTGTTTTGTCTTTTTCTGGAGCTAACTAATATTTGTAGGTCTCCTTTTGGGTTAGAGTAAATTTGGTAAGGGCCTAGAGATCCCGGCAGCTTATGGGTAGGGGAGAGTGTGGGGTCTGTTTTTTTTTTTTTTTTTTTTTTTTTTTGTGGAGAATACTTACTCCTGAGTTCATCAGTCTACCTAACACCTGCTTTAACCCACAGGCTATTTCCAAAAGAAAATACTTGAATACGAAGAGCAGAAGAAACAGAAGAAATCAAGGGAAAAGACTGTGAAGTAAAGGCCATGGTGGGCAACACTGTCTAGAGCTACAGGCCAATTTGGACTTTGGCCCTTCTGGTGTGACAGGATCAGTGAGGGAGGCTCTCAGCCCCGGAATCCATGGCCTCCTTCCAACTGGTACCCAGTCTTACTTCAAAGTGGTGTCTGAGTTTGGGATCCTTGGTGTCAGCGTTTCTCAGAACTTTGAGAGCTCTCATCCAAGCTCATAGAACTGTACTCAAAGCTGCATTTTTAGCAGACTGGACACAGTGGGAAACAGTAGTACAGGTGTGGGTGCTTGATTAGCAATTTCTGCAACTGCCATCTCCTGTGAACCACTGTTATAAAATCTTCAGCAGACAACATTGTTGGGGCCCAATGACCCATGTACAAAAGAGTGGTCTGACATGTGAGGATGAGAATAAAGATATAAACTGCTTATTGTTTGTCAATCTAGGAGGCACTGTATAGGAGAACTAAACTAGACATGGAGAAGAACCTGGTCACACTAGGCTGTTTGGAATCACAAAACCAGGGGTCAACAGCACCACTTCTAGTAGGAAGAGTAAGAAATCTTGATCAATGTGGCCACAACATAGTAGTCTTTGGTACAAGTCAGGTGTGCTTTCCAGAATCATGAGCAGGAATTGCTAGCATGAAGGAGGCAGCTTGGCCGGGGACAACTTAATGGAGAAATCCCCATCAACAGAAGCCTTTGAAGGCTACTTCATGACTTCCATAAACAGACCAGACTGCCCTTAACCCAGCCAGGGGTAGTCCATGACCTTCAGTCTTAGGCATCTCACCTCAACTGCTTATTTAGGTTCCAATTCTATTCTCTAAGGTGGAGAGATTCCTCTCTGCATTGGCATTTTTTTCCCTTTATAATCAAAAGTTTTTATTATTTATCTAGGCCTTCTTTTCCTATACTACATTCAGTTTCTGCTTAAAATTGCAAGAGAAACATCTTGCCTTCTAAAATTCTATCTTTGAAATGCTTTCCCACCGTACTTTTTATGGCAGCCTTCAGAAGTTTCTGAATCCCATACAAAGAGTGCAAATGCTGTGGGAGGTGTAACAAGAGGCAGGGCCACAAAATGGAAGTTTAAGGGACACATTCTGACTTGAGGAACACATACTCCTACTGCAGGTGGTAGATGTCCACATGCCATGCCTAATATAATTCTACAGCTTCTAGGAACCATTCTATCTGTTTAGAGGGTTTATAGAAGTGGTTGCTAAAACCTTGTTAGATCTTGAAAAGTTTCAGACCAAAAACCAGAATGCTGTCAAGGCTGAGAAAAAAACTGAGGCTCCAAAATAGGTCTATCTGGTAGACTTCTGAACCTGGAGTACATATGGTGGCACAGCCTATGTCCCCAGCATTCAGGAGGCTAAGCAAGGAGAACTGAGAGTTCAAGGCCAGCCCAAGCTACTGTGGGACCTTGTCCAGAATCCCCACCAAAAAGGTCCAGACTATGTTTTCTAAAAAACACCCACATGTTGAATGATTCTCATACTCTAGGAGGTCAGTGAACACAGCATCCAGGGCCAGCTGAGGCTTTATACAAAGCAATCATTGACTTAATGATGCTGACATTTTTCTAGGGCCAAAGGAAGCACACATGAGCGATTTTCAGATTTCCTCTATGTTGAGGAGAAAAAAACATGACACATGTGTTTATTTCAATTAGCCCTGAGTAACTCTGTTTATAGCATTGGTATTGTATAGAAAACACTAACTAGAATTCAGAAGACAGCCTAGATTCCATCTGGAGTACAGTAATAATGTGTGACAACTGGTATTTCATTTCGCCTCTTTAGGCCTCAATTTCCACTAGGCATAAACAACTGTTAAATGTCTGCTGAAATAAATAAAACAATGGATGTAACTGTACTATTGGAGGATTACCTGTCCTTTTTTCCCCTTGTTGTTTCTTAGATTATCTTTATATCCCAGTCCACTGCCCCCAATTTTCTGAGTCTTGTGTAGATCAGATTGGCCTAAAACACCACAGTCAAGGATAACTTGAACTTCTGATCCTCCTCCTGCTTCTACCTCCAAGTGCTGGAGTTCACTAAACTTTGTACTTCTTTATACTAAAGAAAGAGAACATCTGGATACAATGAAAATAAATGTGATTCACAGAGGACATTCCAACAGTAGCCTAAATACCAAAAAGGTGAATGCAAAGTAAACTACCACCACCATCCCATTCTGGACCATTAATACAATGCTGGAGTAATGATTACAACATAAAGAACCTACAGGAGAGAAAATGAACAAACCATTTCTCCTTTTTAAAAAATTTAACAGTTTATACCGCAAAGTGGTCAAAGCCTTATCCTGACAACACAGCTGACCACATTTCCTTAATTGTTAAACAACACACATAAAATTGTCTCAATTTAAAAAGATGACATTTAAAATTTAGTTTACCTTTCCCCTGAATGAAACTAAGAAAAAAAAGGCTGGCTCTGAGATCATATATTTATTTAAAAAAATAAAATGGATTGACAAAGTTACCACATTATCTGCATGCTAGCAAGATTTCCCAAGCCTGCCGAGAAACATCATTTCTTGATCAATAATAAAATCACTTCCTCAACAATGTACAGACAGGAAAACTTTCCATCCCAATTTAAGGTCTTTATCACTGCTCTCACCTCACAAGCTAGTAGGATGTATATGCCACAAGCTGAGCTCCTTACAAAAGAAAGTCTGAGAAGACAATAAACAAGGTGTTACAAAAAGATGATGATTTGTTAAAATTATAAAGCAACCAATCTTTTGGCCTGCAAAAATTTTACATTAGAATCACCACCACTGGGGATGCGCTCTTCTGACAGCATAGTCTGTATTCAAGATAATCACAAACACATGGCATTCCCATGCTTTCTGGAGCCAAACCCTGTTTGACAACATGTTCAGTTTACAGGATGGGACCTGAAATTCCCATTCTCGCAACAGGACAGTTAGGGAGTGTTACCAGTGACAAAGAATGAAAGTTATGTAACATTGATTATTATAAATTACATTTGTTCTTATCCACCCCCATTCTCCTTAACATGTTCAGATTCTTTCCTGCAGAAAACATGAGCATAACAGAACCCCAGTCACATTATTAATGATGATTAGTGTGCGCTGCAGAGGTTTTAATCCTGAAGACATGTATATGCAGGTGAGATGCAATCTGATTGCAAACACTGACACAGTAACGAATCAAGTCAAAGAAAGAGAAGACCTAAAAAAGAGAAGAGATGCTTGATTAGATTCTCAACATGTCTACAGGCTTCCCTAAGTTTCCTGAGAGCACAGAAAGGTGGCTTCTGACTTTTGTCTCTTCAAATTTATATCATATTCATACAGTTAAAATAACAGTTGTCTCCTGGTGTCCTTTATAGCTAAGGATTAACAAATCTTTCCTTAGAGATACAGTAAACATATCAAGCTTTTTATTACTTATTTTATTTTTTGAGACAGAGGCTTCCACAACCTAGGTGAGCCTCAAATTCAGTATGAGTTGAGGAAGATCAACTTCTGATCCTGGCTTCCAGTTCCCAAGTGCAGGGCACACAGGCATTGCTAACAGGCCTGACTTTTTAAGCACAGTGCTGGCAATCAAACACAAGGCTTCATGCACATCAGGCAAGCACTTGACCACTAAGCTATATACTAAGCATAACATTTCAAGCTTTCTGAGTTGCATTATCTGTCACAATTGCTCTCTTACATTACAAATGTGGGTTTCTGACAGTCCTAGTCATTATTACCACTCTAGGATCTCTTAGGACTGGCTCATTCAAACAAGAAAACAAGTTAACTTACAGATCACAAAATAAGACAGTACAATACCTACCAGGGCAATCCAAAGTACAATATATTCATCAATGAAGCTGTTAAAATACTGGTCCAGAAACAAAAGTGCTGGACCAATGAATGCTGTGTCATGCAGATGCATTTCACTTTTCGTCATGTGTGCAACCTGAGAGTAGAACAAAATCCATGAAACAGGCACTTTGATTTTAGAACTGTGTGCAGTATAAATCAGTATAATGCTCACTCATATGAGGTTTCAAGAATGACTTAGCAATAGTTGTTGAGTTTGTAAAACTAAAAACAAATTTCAAGAATATTAAAATTGCATGAGAAAGGGAACAGTCATGCCAACTATCCCAGTAGGAAACACTCTTATACAAAGGATTTCAATGGACGTCCAAGATGACACTGAAGCATGCACATTAAGTTGACTAGCCAAGTTAGAGTGGACAGGGTAGTGAAAGGATGTAGAGCTTCAAAGAACTTGAGGTAAACGCAAAATGAAGTGTCAGAAGAGTAAAAACAGCTCTTTCACTGATGTAAAGAAATTTATATGGCAAACTCTCAGACTACCTAGGAAGTTCACAGAGAGAAATCCAGGTCCACAAAACCAAACTAAGATGAACATTATAACAGTAAAAACTGCGGTGCTTACCACAAGCTTATTGGTGATTTTAGCTGACACAAAGCCAAATGTCAGTATATAAAGACATGGATGTTTTTCAAAAAGCTGAACCGCTGACTTCTTGTAGATCATTACAGCTAATGTGATCACTGATCCAATGTGGAGGAAAGGAGAAAGGACGCTTGTTCCCTGTACAGAGCAGAGTTAACAACATTTAACGCTGTCAGCTGCTACATGGACCTACCACAAAACACTTTAACCCAAACATCCTAGAACCTCATAGTGGCTGCCAGCTAACAACTACAATAAACTGGACTTCAGACTAGTGAGAAGCAGCTTCATGAACTGGGAAAGCACAAACACTCTGTCCTTGGCAGGTGCCACTTACTTTCATATAGCGTGCCATAATTTCTAAAAACATGTGTGCTGTGCCCACATACATGAACAATTATCAGCATACAAAAGTATGTGTGAGTATATATTTTAAAGGCTTAATAGAAATTCTAAGTTGACAAATGATTTTGTCTTATTTAAATGGAAAACAAAATATTGGTAAGAAAAAGTCTTAGTTTGCAAATATCTGGAAATCTTAAAGTATACTCACTGCTATGGTTGATCCATTTTTGCCAACACCACCTGTGAAGATTACACGGAAGTAATTTGTACAGGAAAATATGGTCCCTGCCACAGTACAAAGTGCAGGAAAAAGTTTCATTTGAATATTCAGCACTGGAATCTTTAAAGGGTAGAGAGAAAGGACAATTAAAATATATACACATTCAAATATGAAATAGTACAACAAATATTTATAACCTCAAAAAGTCTCCATTCCTTATAGTTAATACTAATGTAATGGAAATTTCCCTCTCCTCAAATTATAAACAATAGAACAAGTCTCAAAAGATGAGACTTACTTCTGACATGAAAGTCCAGTGAATGGGATGGATAGATGGCTCCGAGGATAAGAGCACTGACTGCTCTTCCAGAGGTCCCAAGTTCAATTCCCAGCACCTACACAGTGGCTCACAATCATCTATTATCACAATCATCTGATGCCCTTTTGTGGCGTACAGGTACACATGCAAAAAGAGCACTAATACATAAAATAAATCTTAAAGAGAAATGAGAGTCTAACAGTAATAAGAAAATACAATGTATTAATTTGCATCCTAAGCTCAGTGAATATATCTAAATTTATTTATTTTTAAGTAAAAGGGGATGCCTTTACACTCCTTGGCATACTGTATTGTAAATTGTAGCTTCCTAGCTGCTAAGCAGAAGAGCCAAAGTAATAAATATATTTGCAAATTAATTCTGAAATCAGCATGGTGTAATAGAAAAAAGTTCTATGTATAAGAATTCCAAACTCTGACCTGTTGGGATACAACCAGCTAGTGAAAGCTGAGGGCAACTAAGTGGCATTTACACTTAAAAAAAAAAGCGAAGGGCATCTGAACTGGTGCTCCTCTACAACTATACCCCAAGCGTAAAAGCTTACTTTTCAGCAAACAGTATATTGCTGTGACTGTACACTAAAAATGTGATTTACCTAAAGTAAAGACAGGAATTGAGTGGACTCATACTAAATGCTTGAGGTCACCAAAGACTTTCTTCTTTTTTATGCCCAGTCTTTTGCTTTTCTGGTTTCAAACTTTGCCCAAAGGTAAGATGAATTACGATATACTAAGTAATTATAGGAACAAGGTTATAAAAGTCCACAACTTTTGAAAGATAATGAGGTCTCACAATGAAAACACTTTAAACAGGGTCATTTACTCTACTCAAGACTTATGTGCCTATGTTTTAAATCAAGTAGGATATAAGACATTTCCCTTTGTAATGGAAGGGAAACTCTTTTTGGCAAGACAAATTCAAAATGTCTGGGTGTTCCATTTCTTCCAAACTCTCAAGAACTTACTTTGTTTATCAAACTCTCCTACCTCTTGCAAATCTGAAGTCTAAAAAGAAAATGGAGCCAACTATTTGATTCTTGAATCACATTAAGCAGCATTTAATCTTCTACATGAAATATCTCCACTTAAAGTTCAGAAATTTGTACAACACTCCAAACTGTCCTCCTCTTTGCCTAATTTTCTACCCTACAGCCCAAGTCCAAGCTTTTCAAGAGAGGAGATAATAAATAATAACGAGGCTTTGAACTATTGTGGATTATTCTGTTCTGGGATATTACTATGTAAATGTGATGCACCTGGCTGGAACTCTATAGTGAGTTCCGTTCTTACTTTCCAGTCTCCTGCCATTCTCTCCATGTCTCTACAGAGACAATGGATGTTTCTGGCAAAGGCAGAAATATGCCTTCGCCTAATAGAGTACTGCACCGTCACAGGGGGTATCTATATTATAACCAGGGTATCAGTACACCGAAGGAGACACCTGTATATAGCAGGCCCCCATGGCACAATCAACCTGATCAAGCATTATTACTTGTATT